CAACTTCCAAAATCATTTTGGGGATATGCCTTAAACACAGCGACATACCTTCTAAATAGGGTACCGTCTAAATCTGTTCAGACCACACCATATGAGATATGAAATGGTAAGAGACCCAACCTGAGTTACCTCAGGGTATGGGGATCGCCAGCTTATGTCAAAGCGTTGGCATCAGACAAGCTTAGTGCTAAGAGTACTAAATGTCTATTTGTAGGGTATCCCAAAGGTACTAAGGGATACTACTTTTACTCCATGGATGAACACAAGGTGTTTGTGTCAAAGAATGCTGAGTTCCATGAGAAGGATTTGATCTCTCAAGGAGCCAGTAGGAGTAAGATTGATCTTGAAGAAGTTCAAGAACCACATGAACAGATTGAGGAACCCGAGTCTACTCCGCAGGCGACGTTCTCCAATGGAGAAGTAAACACACAACTCCGTAGGTCAACGATGGTCATCCATCCACCTGAGAGGTATGGGTTTGTGATTGAGAATCAGCAAACCGTCGAGGATGATGAACCAAGTAACTACGAAGAGGCAGTCAAGGATGTTGACTCTTCTAGATGGCTTGAAGCCATGGAATCTAAAATGGATTCGATCTATCAAAACAAGGTATGGACCTTGGTTTCTAAACCGCAAGGAATAGTTCCTATTGGTAACAAATGGGTCTTTAAAAGAAAGACTGATGCAGATGGCAACGTTCAGACCTACAAAGCTAGGTTGGTTGCGAAAGGGTATCGTCAAAGACAATGAGTTGACTATGATGAGACTTTCTCTCCTGTTGCCATGAGCAAATCTATTAGGATCATACTTGCAATAGCGGCATATCACGACTATGAAATTTGGCAAATGGATGTCAAGACCGCCTTCTTGAATGGGTTCTTGAAGGAGGAAGTCTACATGACACAACCTGAGGGCTTTGAAATCAAAGATCATGAGCATTTTGTATGCAAACTTCAAAGGTCGATATATGGGCTAAAGCAAGCATCAAGGAGTTGGAATATTCGTTTTGATGAAGTCGTTAAGAGTAACGGTTTTATCAAGAACGAGGATGAACCTTGTGTTTACAAGAAGGTTAGTGGGAGTAATGTCGTCTTCCTGGTACTTTATGTAGATGGCATATTGTTAATAGGAAATGACATCCCCACATTACAAATAACGAAAGAGTGGCTTTCAAAAAGCTTCACCATGAAGGATTTGGGAGAAGCGGCCTTCATACTTGGTATAAAGATCTATAGAGATAGATCCAAGAGGCTGTTGGGTTTATCCCAATCCACGTATGTTGACAAGATGCTAAAGAGGTTTAGCATGGAAGGGTCGAAAAAGGGTTTTCTTCCTGTCAGTCATGGGGTACATCTTTCGAAGGCTATGTGTCCTAAGTCACGGCCTAAGAAGGATCGCATGAGTGGAATTCCATACGCTTCGGCTATTGGATCCATCATGTATGCCATGATATGTACGAGACCAGATGTCTCATATGCTTTGAGCATTACGAGCAGATACCAGTCGGACCCTGGAAAGGGTCACTGGACAGCAGTCAAGACCATCCTTAAATACTTAAGAAGAACTAAGGATGTGTTTCTGGTCTATGGTGGGGTTGATGAGCTAACAGTGAAAGGGTTCACTGATGCCAGCTTTCAGAGTGACAAAGATGACTGCAAGTCACAATCAGGGTTCGTATTCACCTTAAATGGTGGGGCAGTATCTTGGAAGAGTTCCAAGCAGGAGACAACAGCAGATTCAACAACAGAAGCTGAATATATAGCTGCTTCAGAAGCAGTTAAGGAGGCCGTGTGGATCAAGAAGTTCATATCTGAACTTAGGGTGGTTCCAAGCGTGGATGAGCCCATACAGTTGCTTTGCGACAACACTGGAGCCATTGCACAGTCAAAGGAACCTAGGTCTCACCAAAGATCTAAGCACGTGCTTCGCAGATATCACCTGATTAGAGAAATTATTGATAGGATGGATGTAAAGATGGATTATATTCCCACAAATGATAACCTAGCTGATTCTCTGACAAAGGTTGTTTCTCAAATAAAACATGATAGTCATTATGAGGCTTTGGGTATACGACTTAGGTCTGATTGGTTCTAGGCCAAGTGGGAGCTTGTTAGTATATGGATGTCCTAGAGACAATCTTTTAATTAGATTAGGACATATGTGGACATTTGTATTGTCGCAAATAAATAAAAGCACTATTTATCCTGTTTCATATTTTGTCTCAATATTACTGTTAATATTTTATATGAGTAACTGGATAAACCCCTCGGAATAAAATAGGTATCTCTTGAGTATCTGTGATGAGATCACGATCATGAGGATTCAAGGATACTGGATATTTATTCCTAATTTTATGTTCCTAGTCTAGAGACACTGAGAATGGGGATCCGTGATCTCGGGTAAGACTAGCACGACTTATCTACTTGTATTCGGAAGCAAGGTAAAGACCTCATGAGCTACAGATATGGAGATGTCTTAGCTAAAGTCGTGGGTGGATCTATAAGGGTATAGCTCGCACTGAACAGACCCACAAAAGAGACTCTATGAGGAAATCTCATAGAGAGTATCATTAGAGTAGTCTCTTTATATTTGGGTATGTCTTTCCTTAGACCAGAAGTTATTACCTAAACTGTGTTCTAGAAGGCATGCTTTGACTGTATACCTCGTCTGCCTGAAACATGGAGACTCATAGGTATACTGTTGGGCTTGTCCTGAAAGAGCACAGGGCAAGGGTGATAAGCTGAAGGAATTCGTCAAATCTCTGTGAGAGATTAGGTTATCTGTAAACTGAAGAAATCGGGATGACATTTACAGGGACTCGGGAATCTATGCATAGTAAAAGAGATCATGAGATGATCTGCCTTTAGAGTCAGTAAGTTGAAGATTCCCTATTTCAAATAAAGCTTACCCTAAACCGCAAGGGTTGATACGCTTCCTTACCCTAGGTTTTATGGGAAGGTAACCGAGACGAAAAGAAATACATACGGCAACCAAATATGTGTAATAGGATGATCATGTCATTAATCTAACTAGCTCTAGGGCAACAAAGCATTGCTAGTGCTCTGTGTTGTCATTAAATGGGTTGTGGGCTTGTTGGGCCCGAGCCCAGTTATGTCAGTGGCTATGTTGGACCAAATGGGTCACGCACTAACACCTTAATGTCATGATGATATAGCATTAAAGGTATTGGGCCTAATAATGGTTGTTAGCCTAAGATGAAGTTTGGAAGCCCACCTAAGAGGGAGATGGCGCATGGTATTGTTAATGGGCTTGGATGGTCCAAAACATTACTAATTAATTTAATTAGTTAAATTAATTATCAAATATTTAAATTTTGAATTTTGAATTTGAAATTTGAATTTTGAATTTGAATTTTGAAATTCGAATTTTGAATTTGAAATTTGAATTTTGAAATTTGAAATTTGAATTTGAAATTTGAATTTGAATTTAGAATTTAAATGTTTGAACGTTTGAATTTAAATGTTTGAATTCGAATTTGAATTGGCTATGAAAAGTTGTTTCATAACAAAAGGATAAGATGAGATCTTGTTGGAACAAATCCATTGTATCAAGAGAAGATCTATGGAGATCTCCAAGGGCTGATTTGGGGCGCCATTTTGGTGGAAGATGATTGTCATCTTGTCAAACCAACAAGCTCCAATCAGATTTGGTTGTTGAGAGAATCAGTGAGCTAGTTGGTTCAAACTTGAATGCAACAGCTCAAATGTATCTGGACCCTTTTTGGGCTGAATAGGGGCGCATGAATTGGTGGTCATATGATGACCATTGGTTCATAATTTTGACTAGATAAAGACCTAGTCTTATGAGGATTCAAAGGGAAGGTTGTTGGGATTACAACTCCACCTTTGTCTCACTCACTTGTGCGCCACTTTCATTATAAGTAAAGTAAAGTTCTGATTTGATACACTAATTCTCTCCCTCTCTTGTGCGCCTAGTTGGTGAGTTCCTCCTTAAGGTTTTTCAAAAGAACCTAGCCAATTCTTCTATATACCATTCCCACTCTTGTGAAGTTTTCATGCTGGAGACTTCACTCTTCTAAACACATATACCTAGCCTCCTTCTTCACCTATTGAGCGCATAGCAAGCCTCTCTGTGGTGGTCAATTGGTGGCTTTCAAGAAAGCGTTCTTGCATCTTGACGTGGGTGGTGTGGATCAACGTTAGAGGGTTTGAACCCTTCAAACCTAACACTGATTGTCTTGGAGTTTTGAACTCACAAACAAAGGTAACATCACATGCCATAAAGCATGATTCTTGATTGCATATGTAATTCTGCATATGAAAAATTTTGTTTTTCCCTCTCACATGCTACGGCCTTCAAGGCCATTTTACTTTCACATACAATAATCAGCAGTAACAATACCAACAAGGCAACAATGGGGGAAACAGAGCATATGACCCACAAAGAAGACCCAACAGTGCTCTGTTCCCAAGGGAAGAACAACACATCAACACATTGGAAAATTATATGAAAGGGTATGTCACCAGAAATGATGTTGTTGTCTGAAATATTGAGTCCCATCTGGGACAGATAGCTGCTAGCCTCAACACCAGAGTGCCTGGAACACAGCCAGGAGACACTGAAGTCTCCTCAACATCCTCCCCAGAGCAGATCAAAGCAATCACCTTGAGGAGTGGGAGAGTTGCCACACGAACCTCAACCACTCCCAAGACCACAACCATAAACACTGAGGAGGAACATGATGAACCAGTTGAGGTATCTCCAAGTATTGCACAACAAAAACAAAGGCAAGCAGTTAGTAAAGAAAATCAAGGACCTGGAAACAAGACTCTGGCTAGTGAACATACCCGAGTTGATGGCAGTCAAGCAACCAGACCACCACAGAATAAACAAGTATCAGTTACAATTCCATTCCCTCAAAGAACGAAGAAACAACAGGATGACAAGTAGTTTGGAAAATTTTTGAGCATCCTGAAGCAACTTCATATCAACATACCTTTGTGTAAGCACTAGAACAGATGGTCAAATACGTCAAGTTGATGAAAGATGTTCTCTCAAAGAAAAGAGGAATAGAAGAATATGAAACTGTGACAATGGCGCAGGAAAGTTGCAAATATTTGGGTAAACTTCCACCAAAATTACAGGATCCTGGGAGCTTTACCATTCACTGTGTAATAGGAAATACTTACCAAGGCAAAGCCTTATGTGATTTGGGGGCAAGCATCAATTTAATGCCTTCCTCAGTCTTCAAACAATTAGCTACCGGACCAGCAAAACCCAACTCTGTAACACTGCTGATGGCAGATAGATCCATTGTCAAGCCTGAGGGGAAAGTGGAGAATTTGTTGGTCATGGGAGCTGAGCAGGTAGGGGTGAGAGCATCTGTTCGATCCTCCCCAGTACCACCTTTGGGAGGGGTTTAAAGCCTTAATCTTGGACCCTCCCCGAATCGAACTAGTCGCGAAGCGATGAATCGATTGGAATATTTCCAAAAAAAAAGTACACAGCTTCAATTTTCCTGCTGATTTCATCATCGTGGACTATGAAGCTGATGTTGACGTCCCCATCATTTTAGGAAGTTCGTTCCTTGCAACTGGAGGAGCAGTCACCAATGTACAGAAAAGGGAACTCACCATTAGAGTACACGATGATGAAATTAAATTCAATGTCCTGAAGGCAATGAAGTTCCATGATGAAAAAGAAGATTTGGAAGAATGCTCTATATTGTTGTGTTTGATAACCATGTCAACTTGAATTCAAATGATGCATAATCAGAAAAAGATGATAAAGGAACAGAAAAATAAAACAGTTCACAAGAGGAGGAACATATTTCTTATCTACAAGAAAGAAAACCTGAGCCCTTGCAAAGGACTGAAAAAGAAAAAGAAGTGAAAAGACCATCTGCAGAGCAGCCTCCTAATCTAGAATTGAAGCCACTTCCCCAACATTTTAAATATGCATATTTGGAGAACGCCAACACCCTTCCTGTTATCATCTCCTCACTCCTCACCAAGGAACAAGAAGAACTACAGATCAGCAAACCGAAAAAGTATCAGGAGCTATTGGTTGGACCATAGCAGATCTTAAAGGTATCAGTCCCTCTTTTTGTATGCATAAAAAATTATTGACTGACCCTAACAGCTTTTCAGTAGAACATCAAAGGAGATTGAATCCTATTATAAAAGAGGTGGTTAGAAAGGAAGTCATCAAGTGGTTAGATGCAGGAATCATATATCCTATTTCAGATAGCAATTGGGTAAGTCCTGTCCAATGTGTTCCCAAAAAAGGGGGCATAATTGTGGAGCTAAATACGAAAAATGAGCTGATCCCTGTCAGAAAAGTCACATGATGGAGAATTTGCCAGGACTACAGAAGACTCAATGCTGCCACAAGGAAAGACCACTTTCCACTTCTTTTCACAGATCAGATGTTAGATCATCTAGCAGGTAAGGAATATTTCTGTTTTCTTGATGGTTATTTTGGATATAACCAAATTGCTCTAGCACCAGAAGATCAACACAAAACCACTTTGATTGGGCATGCTGGCTTCTACAGAAGGTTCATTAAAGACTTCTTCAAAATAGCTAGACCCCTATGTCATTTGCTAGAAAAAGATGTTAAATTTGAATTCAACTCTGATTGTTTGAAAGCTTTTGAAGCTTTAAAAAGCAAGTTAGTTGCTACCCCTGTTATTCAACCTCCGGACTGGAACTTACCCTTCGAGTTAATGTCTGACGCAAGTGAACAAGCTATTGGGGAAGTTCTGGGTCAGAGGAAGGACAAACTCTTTCGTAGCATATATTATGCCAGCAAAACTTTAAATGAGGCTCAAGTGAATTACATAGTCATTGAAAAGGAGCTACTGGCTGTAGTATATGCCTGCGAAAAGTTCACGCCGTACATTTTAGGATCCAAAGTCACTATTCATACTGACCATGCAGCTCTCAGATACCTGTTTGCCAAGAAAGAGGCAAACCCACGTTTAATAAGATGGATTCTACTGCTACAAGAGTTCAATCTGGAAATCAAGGAGAGGAAAGGATGTGAAAATCAAGGAGACGTTCCCTGATGAGCAATTGTTTGTTATCCATGACAAGGACGTCCCTTGGTTTGCTGATATAGCTAACTTTCTTGCAGCAGGACTAGAACCCTATGAAGCAAACAAGATGCAGAAAAGAAGTTCTTTCATGATTGCAGGAGCTACCTATGGGAAGAACCTTTACTATTCAAAAGATGTGCTGACCAAATGATAAGGAGGTGCGTTCCAGAAGAAGAGCAGTCTCAAATCTTCTTTCATTGTCAATCCTCTCCAATTGGAGGCCATCTAGGAGGAAACAAAATTGCATCCAAAATACTGCAATCAGGTTTTTATTCGCTAACTCTTTTTAAAGATGCACTTCAATATGCTAAACAATGTGATAAATGCCAAAGAGAAGGTAACTTAACCAAACAGAATGAAATATCCCTTAATCCCATATTAGAAGTTGAATACTTTGATGTGTGGGGCATTGATTTCATGGGGCCATTTCCCCCTTCTTGTGGGAACAAATTCATATTAATGGTTGTAGTTTATGTAAGCAAATGGGTGGAAGCTGTTGCTCTACCTACTAATGATGCCAAGGTGGTAATAAAGTTTTTGAAGAAAAACATTTTGACAAAATATGGAACACCTCATTGTGTTATCAGTGATGGTGGGAAACATTTTATTAACCACCAATTTGAGAGATTGTTGAAGAAATATGGAGCCAGACACAAAGTTGCAACTCCATATCATCCATAAACTAGTGGACTCGTTGAAGTCTCTAACCGAGAGGTTAAGAGGATTTTAGAGAAGGTTGTCAACCCTTCTAGGAAAGACTGGTCTCTCAAATTAGATGAGGCATTATGGGCTTACAGAAAAGCCTACAGAACACCACTTGGATGTTCCCCCTATAAATTGATATTTGGCAAAGCTTGTCACCTTGTTTTAGAGTTAGAGCACAAAGTGTAAGAACCCGCACCGCTAATTAAGGAAATTAATTAGATAATTATGACATAATTCCATAATTGACCCAAATAATTATTATGAGATTTTAATAATTATAGTAAGTGAGTAATAATGCTGAAAGTCGCTTTTCTGACGAAAACTGCAGATACCGGTTCTGCTACTCGTTATAAATGTGTACCGATGAAGTATCCCGGAAAAGTATAATAAGTGCATGAATGTTCCTAGAATAATATATAGGACTTGTAAAACAAGTTTCAAGTTAAAATAACGAGAACTGGTGCTAGAACTTATACTGGCTATGAAAAAGCGTGTACCGAAAAGGTGCTGCGAAAAATAAAATAAAAATATGAAAAATCTTAGAAAAATGAGTAGGTTCATAATTTCAAGTTTGAGATTAAAATGATAAGCGTAGCTTTTAATGCTAACACTGTGTGTTTAAGATTTGTGGGCTTTAAATACTCATTCTTTGGCACAAAACCCTAGGTCCTTGTGTTGTTCTACGTGGGCTGAGAGGCTGACCAGAATTTGCACTGTTCCATTGCCACCCTCTTCTTCCTCCATTCTCCACCAAAGACTCCACTTTGTTCATGAAAACCTTCATCCATCATGGTGTAGGCTTGTTACACATATAGGGAGTGTGGAGAGGGTTCCTTTTGTGAGCCTTTTTAGACTGTTTATGTGCATTCAAGGGGCTGAGTTTCTGTTTTGGGTTGAGGGTTGCCTTGTTCTTGGTTTGTTGAGCTTCAAGGAGCCACCTTTGAGTGTAAAGGTCCATCCTTGTGTGGTATTTTCGTTTGTCTTGAGAAGTCAGTAGCTTGGTGCTGTTTTGAGTGCTCTTAGCCACTCTCATTTTTGGAGTTTTGGATATTGGAAGGTATACCATGATCACCCTTGTGTATTTTGATGTTTTAGCTTGTTTAAGCAATTAAAAATCGTAACTTGAACCATTTGATAAAAGGAATGTGTTTCTGGGTTTATAACATGTTAATAAACATCTGTTTAAGGAGTTCTTGGACTCCAGATCGAGTTTGGATCATTGGAAGTCGATTTTACTTTTAAAACTCAGTTTTTTGCATTCTGTCGAAGAAGTATTCGAATACTTTTTTGGCAGTATTCGAATACTTCCTGGAAAAAGGCAGTAATCGAATACTTCGCGAGACAACAACAACCTAGTTTAGTAAAATTGCGATATCTCGAGCTTCAGAGCTCTAAGTTGAGTGAGGTTTAGACCTATGTGAAGCTAACACATAGGGATACAACCCTGTAAATTTTCAGATCCATTGGATAAGTGGATTTCTCTCAGTGTATGTTTGAAGTGGAGACCCTATTGTTGGAAATTCAGCTAGTTGTAGGAACTTTGCAAAAATCATAACCGGATTTATATAACTCCGATTGAGACATAAAATATGTCGTTGGAAAGCTTGAGATGTCTAGTTTAACATATTAAAATATTAGAGTTTTGGTAAAGAGTTGCAACTGTAGTTTTAAGATGGTAGTCGAATACTCCTTGTAGGAGTATTGGAATACTTTTCTGGGAAGAAAAGTATTCGGATACCTTTAAAGAAGTATTCGAATACTGGAAAGTATTCGAATACAGTGAGGTTTGTGTAACATCTCGCAAAATTAGGAAATTACATAACTTACAATCAAGGGCGTGTTGTAGGCTTGAAACTCGAATTAATTTCTGTTTAGAGTGGAATTAATTTAGTTAGGAAAATTATTTGATTTGTATTTATAAGTAAGGGCATGTATATATATATATATATATTGAGAATTCAAAGCTCTAGCTAAAAGAATATGAGTAATTTAATATAACCTATGAAAATCTTAGATAATACTAGGAGGCATATGAAATAATAATTAATAAATTGCAGGAAGCAATGCTCATTAAGAAATGATAGCTTGGACCCTTTAGTTAACCTTTAATTTATCCTAAAGGAAATCCTAATTATTTGTATTAGTAACCTAAGAAATCAGCCTTGCCTCCCCTGCAGCCAATAAGAAGAAAGAAAATCTGCATGCATGTAGTTTTATTGGTCAATGTCAACTCTCATTATCTTATTCCTTCCCTTATGCGCATGGTCTTGAGGAAGACAAGTCAGATTGCTGCCCATTCTTGTACTCCCTTTTATACGCATTGTGTGAAAGCAAGCAAGCTGATTGCTTATTATATTATTCAAAGAATTCAGCCCCACTTGCCACCACATGCAGCTTATGTAAGGAAGGCAATCAACATGTATGTCCCTTAGTGTTCAAAAGCCACTTACATCTATTCTCCTCCTTTCACCTAGTGCGCTTAATGGGAGAATAATAAAATGATGATTTAATTGCACTCTTGCTTAGGTACGAATAACCCTTGAGTGTGGACTGACTATTGCTGCTGTTTGATATATAATTGTGGCACACGAGGTAAGTGTCTGGAGATATTACCTAATG